ATTGCTATTTATCTGAAAGGGACATGGGTGCTTTTTTTACTGCAATATTTTGACACTAAGACTCATTGATCACTAATTTCAAAGGGGAAAAAGGTTAATCCATCAGTTTGTCTACCAAGAAGGCACTGATAGAAATTCTTTAGGTGACATTCTGAATGATCTGAGCTTTCATTCCTTGCAAACAAATGAATGATATGGCAAGCATAGTGTTCAAAACACATTTAACCAATTGATTTTCTCTCCTGTCCTAATAAGATCTATAGAGATATGAATGAGTGAACCACAAGCCAAGATTAAAAACTGCTTCATAAGAGAACATAACACAGCAACATTATCAATAAGGTTACTGTAAAACATCATATCATCCATTATTTTTCTTCAGTTAAAGTTCATTATTATAATAACTATTGTTATTGAACAATATGGCTATTCTTATTGTTTTCTTAAATTTTTGTTCAAGCAAGTTTTGCATATTCTTATAAAATAAGTAACACTTTTTTTTACTTTAGGATATATACTGTTTTATATGTTATCAATGGGCTTATAATTTAAAAAGACAAAAATAAAATAAGTTATAGAACCTGAATTTTACATAAATTATGTGTTAAAATTCTTTATGAAAATGGATCCTGCTACACAAGGACATGTAATTAAGTGCAATACTTAATTAGACTAGCAGAATATGCCCTTTTGGAAAACATCAGAACTTCTTCCCCCTTTTCTCCCTTAAAGAAACCTGTATGACTTCACGTTGATAACATCTTTTTCTTCACTCCTTCCCATTTACTTCAATTTGATATATATTCAATAATTTCTTTTATATTTTTAAAGATTTGTTTTCATTTTCATTAATTAAAATAAGCAAGTTAACTTACTGGCTGACAAAAAGGGAAATAAATTAGGACTATGAAAATGGTTTCTCCAGTTTTGAGTCATGGAAAATATTACAAGTATGCTAAAATACAATGGGGCTATAGTTTTACTCAAACTGTCTAGGAGTAAGTCACACTGAAAATAGAGTATTCACTAGAAAAAAATATGCAGAGAATCAAGCTTTGCACCATACATAATACCATGCTCATAACCTTTATTTGTTTATGGAAGAGAAAAAAAATCTAAATATTGCGCTGGATGACAGTTCCTACAGCCATATCACTGGCATCTGCGTGAATCACAAAAGGTTCCTCTGGGTTATGGTGCCTTAGCACTGGCTCAGCGGCAAATAGCCCCTTCAACTTTTTAAATTCTGCTTGACATCCCATTGTCCAGTTCAAAGGCTTCTCTCCCCCCTTCCCAGTCTTTAACAGTTCAGTGATCGGTAAAGCAATCTTGGCAAAAGAGGAATGAATTGCCTGTAGAAGTTTGCAAACCCCAGAAAACTTTGCAGCTGCTTGCGGGTGGGAGGGGCTTGCCACTCCAAGATGGATTTCACCTTCCCTGGATCCATCTCTATTCCATCACATCACAGTAGTCCAGTTTAGATTTGTGAAATTTGCATGTAGACAGCTTGGCATACAGATTAGTGTCCAACTAAGGTTTTTTTTAGCACTTGTAGCACAAGCTTCACATGTTCGTCCACGGTCTCAGTGTAAATGAGGATGTTGTCAAGGTACACTAAGATCCTCTTGTAAAGATGTTCATGCAGCACCTCGTTTATGAGTTGCATGAACACTCTAGGGGGTCCCTGTAGTCCAACTGGCATTACTTTAAACTGGTAACTGTCCAGGAGGCAATTGAAGGCCGTCTTCCACTCATCGCCTTCTTTAATTCTCACTCAGTAGTACGCCTCCCTTAGGTCTAGTTTTGTGAATATCTTCCCCTTGCCTAAGTGGCCTAACATGTCCTTCATGAGGGGGAAGTGGTACATGTTTTTCACGCTCACTCTGTTAATTCTGCAAAACTCCATGCACAATCTAAGCAACCCATCTTTCTCTTCTTTAAAGAGTACCGGAGCTGCGACTCAAGATTTCATGGCTTGAATAACACCCCTTGCTAAGTTCTTGTCTATGTACTCCCTTAGCAGGATCTGGCATGGATCTGGCATGCGGGCACACTTTGCCGCTGCTGCTGCACATTGTCCCAGCTCATGTGCCTTTGCTCAGGAGGAGCAACTTGTTATGGTTGTGAACTAAGCTGTAATAAGAGAGGTTTTACTTCTTGCCAATTTATGGGGGGGGAGGAAGCCCTTGCCCGGCCTGGGCGCATCCACTCGACGGATCTCATGGGGGTGGCTTCTGCTGCTGCTCTGAGCGGTCAGCAGGGAAGCAGGAGGAGGTGGAGGGGCAACCGGGGGTCAGTTGCTCACTAGCAGCCCGACGAGGCAGCAGATTTGCACACCAGCTGCCCCTTCTGCTTCCCTGCAGGGCTGACCGGACAGAGCAGCAGCAGAAGCCACCCCCATCAGATCCATCGAGTGGATGCGCCCAGGCCGGGCAAAGGCTTTCTTCCAGCTATCCCAGAGCGATTTCCGCCTGTGCCGATGGGGCTCTGTGGCCAGTCTGCCATTATGCAGGACAGCCAGCATGCTGTGGCTGCTGACGGACACCGTCGCCCCCATGCACTCGCTGGCTTCTGTGTGGGGGGCCTGATAGTGTCAGGCAGCAGATCCAGAAGCGAAGCTCCGCTGACCATCCTTGTGCTGGCGGTGGCGAGGGAAGGCAGGATCTGGCATGCGGGCACACTTTGCCGCTGCTGCTGCACATTGTCCCGCGTGCACCTCTGGGCGGGGAGGGGAGAGCATCTGCCACAGCTCACCTTCTCCCACCACTGCCCCCACCAGCGTGAGGATGGTCGGCACAGTTTTGCTTCCAGATCTGCAGCTGGCTTGGCGATGCAGGGATCACGCTGCTGCCTCCTGCTTCTCTGTGTGGTTGGCCAGTCAAGGGGCTCAGAGCAGCAGCCGCCACCCCCGTCAGAGCCACCTTGTAGACAGGACCTGCACCAGGTGAGGGCTCCTTTCCGGCTGTCCCGGGGGCGTCTCCACTCATGCCGATGGGGCTGCACTGCAGAAGGGAGATGGCGGCTCTGATTTCACTCACTCTCCCGCCAAAACTGCTCCTTTTATATGCTCCCTCACCCCGCCCAGCTCTTGCAGCTGTTCCCGGACTGCACATGCATGGAGAGGGGGCAAGATATACTATATACATGGCTTTTGAGTAAATAAGTTGGGTATAAAGAGCAGCCTGGAATGAACCCACACTCTGAAGCTGGCTAGCCTTGTTGGGCACAGTAACCTGAATAGCCTTGTTGAGCACAACTTATTATAGTAAGCTAACTCTGAAATTAGACAAGTATATGTACAAATACAAAGGAACTAATTAAGCTTAATTGGTTGCCTTGCTTTTTGTCCAAATAACACAAGAATAAAAGAACTATTGGAAAATGTAACTCCGAGTGACCTGAACTCAATTTTATGACATAATTGGCATAGTTGGCAGGATTCTTGGCTTGCATTCGGGCAAGAAAGATAATGACAAGCAGATTCTTGTTGGGAAAAAGGAAAGACAAAGAGAAGGAAAAAGAGAAAGATAAAGAAAAGAAGGAAAGGAGGCAGACCATTTGGATTCTACCTCCTGATAATGAGGGACAAGCTGGTTATTACGATGATATGTTGCATAGTGCTCAGTAGGGTTTAACTGGAACCTGAGAGACAACAGAGATATTAGAGAAAGATAAGAGGGAATTATTGGAGGTGCTAAAGGGAGACAAGGGTTCTTTAGAAAAGGTAAAGTCTACAATATATAAGAATATACATCCTATTACTAAGGAAGACAGTACAACCATAGTCTTTTTAGATTATACTCTGAAATCTGTTTTGGAAAACTTGGAAGAAACTGGGGACATTGATGGTAATGGTGCAAAAGGAAATTAACAAAAAGTAGGAGTTAGGAGAAAAAAGTATGCAATATAGACAAGCTTTGGAACAAATCCTTGAGAAAACTAAAATAGTTAGAGAAATGAAACAATCTATGGAAGATCAAACCAGAAAATTACAAGATATGAAAACTAAAACACAAAGTCTGGCACAGCTGACGTAAAATTTCAGCTGTTAGTAAAAATAAACAAGAAAGGGTCTCTTGTATGAGTAAATACGATCTTTGTGATGGTTTTGACACAACATGTTATGATGAACCTAAGTAACTATATTACTTGTATACAGGAGAGACTTTTATATTGTACAGAGGCAATCAAGAACAAAACATTAATCAAGGTCTTCTCTTTCTGCCCAAGGTAGAACTTTTTATCAAGGATTAGTTATGCATCAACATCACCAAAAATGTCTTGTGATGAAATTAATCTTTTCATATAACTATCAGTGTTAGCTTTCATAAACAGTCATTTTTCTAGTAGCTCAAAAACATTTAGATGCACCTTTAGTCAGTAGCAATACTCAAACCTGGTCAAATAAATAAAGAATAAATGAGAGATTACAAAATAGTGAACTGAATTTCTTTTTAAAATGCATATAGAACATGATTTTACTAGATGATAATTACTAATTTAGATAGCTTTAAAATTGTATTTATTAAATTGCTATATATTGTACTACATATAACCAATCTGTTCCAGAATAGTAGTCACCAAGAAACAATAGCAAAAGAAAATCAAAGGTCTTATGAGATTATTTTCTCATAAAAAATCCTATTCTTCACAGGATTCTAAAAAACATATTATTTTGAACACTAACCCTAACTCTTTAAAATCGTCATGCATTTTAGAATAGACCTCCTTTGAATATGTTGTATTCTTTATATCTCCTCCTAAAATACATTTCATTTAAATGGTTTTGATTGCTCAGGATCTTTTATTTTTGGTGTTCATAATTTACTAAAAAAGGATATTTAAATGATACAATATCTTTGGGGAGGATTAATTTCTTGATCCCAGATATAGTTGCTTGAAATGAAAATACAAAAAGTTGTTCGTAAAATGATTTATGAAGTTTTGCAAGACTGATATATTCTGTATACTGAAAATTCTTGCAATGTGTCAGGATTTACCTTATTGCACTTGCAGATAAATGCCCGTAAGAGCCACTAGCTGAAGAACTGCTACGGGAATTGTTCAGAATTGTCACCAAGGAGTTTGGAGATGTGCGGATCATGGTCTGAAGGTCAAAACTATGATCAGACAGCGGTGATAAGGACAATGTTCGTTTTCGACTTGGTCTTGTTGGTAACCTGGGACTTGAAAACCTAGTACCTGTTGTATAAAAAAACCAATTATTTATCAGAGCACCAATCCTCCTTTTTTAAATGCTACTGGCAGTGGATATAAAGAGTTGCAACAATAGTACATGCTTTTGACAACTGCACTCTTTTCACTTATGATCTACTAGCACAACTGAGAAAAATTAAGAAAAAAAACATTTATCTTTCCATTGCTTACCTCAAGGAAGCTCTCTTGGTTAATGTGCTAGCAAAATGATAAATTGCTAAACAAAGGGAAAAGACCTTTATATGTTATCTTCCACATTTCCAATGATTTATGTATCTGATAGCTGCTTAGGCTTTCATTTTATTAATTCACTAGAAGCAAGGAGATGGAGTGGTTCAAATCTAAGCTAGTAGTTAACTCAAAACCTTTTCTAAAAATTGCTAAAAGTTTTCACTCAACCTAAGGAAAATCAAGATGCATGTTTTGTTCATGAATAAAATAAAAATTCTTCCAAAATATTTATAGGTATTTATATTTCATATTTTCTTCTGGAGGCTTAGAATGAAATAAAACTTAAAGCTTCCTAGCAATTCTGCAAAAAAGATTAGAAGAAATATTAGATTAAACCAGTATCCTAAATATCCAGTATCCTAAATATTATTTTAATAAATATTAAATATTATTTTAAGATAGCATAAATTAATTTTATTCATAAAACAATCCTATATAACTATAGGAATTTGCTGTTAAATGTACCAGTACTTTCTTATGGTTATGTTTGGATATATAGATATTAATATATAGTTTTTAAAAACAACATCTGGAAGCTTTCAGAGTAGAATTCTGAAATTCATTTTCAGTTAAAAATTTCACTAAATTTTAATTCTCAAACATGGCCTTAATGACTGTAAAGAATTGGATTCAGTGGAAAAGCTTTAATTACATATTACTTTACCCAATCCATAGGATTATACTCAATTTTAATATGTCCAAAAGTGACATATTTATTTTAGCAAACACTTTTGTAAATCTTCCAAGCCAAGTAATTTTTTCTACTCTTCAATATATTTCTTTGTGTAAAGAAAATAAAATCATCCCTGTTGGATGAAACATATAATCTACCCAGAATGATATGTTGCAATCTCTAACAACGTCTGGTCTATGATGTGTGAAAAAAAGGGGCAAGCCACCAATAAAAAAATTACTGTGGATTTGCTCAAAATACTACATTTGCTGTTTGAATACTTGCTTTATTGCTTCCATGATTATATTATCTGAAGTCTAGTTATATTCAATATTTGCTTCATTTTGGAAATCTTTGGCCATAATTCTTCAGATAAAACTGCCAGCAAGACTGTCAGTTATCTCCAGCATCTGGTTTGTGATTCTCTTCTTTTTTCTCTTCTATAAAACTAGAAACACTCATGTTGTTCCAATCTTGCTCAGGATATTGTATTGACAAGTGAGTGGAAAATACCCCTTCCCAACCTTCTTATTCTTTTCATCTTTTGTTTATGTCCTGCTATTTGCTGTGTAATGTCTGCTACTTGATTTAATGCAGAATTTAAGATTCTTTAAAATGATGGTGTCCTTTCCTTGCCTTTGAATGAAAACAGTTATCAAAATTTACAAGAAAGTTTGTTTAAGATAGCAGCGAACTCAAACACTATGCTTAAATAGTTCCTCTTCCTCAGACTATAAAGCAAGGAAAATTATAACTCCTGACTCCATAGTCATCTAATCCCAACAAGCACAATTTCTATCCAAGATAGTTGCTGCCACTAGGAGTATTATATTGATGCACAATCATATCTGACTCTGTTGCATATCACTAAATATTCTTTAATTCATTTAAAACATATCTTTGTAAAGGATGCATTACATCATTTTGCTAAATGAGGCACTTCTTACAAAACCTATACAAATACCAAGAAACCATAAAGTGAAATTGCAGCTGTATAAATCAACTTTTTACACAGATTCTGTTTGCAGCCAATCTGCATCCTAAGGCCTAAGCTTTCTCTCCCTCATTTTTTTCTTAAATCATTGCAACTTGCTTCTGAAAGCATGTGAACGTGCACAGCCTCTCTCATAGTTTATTTCTTCACAGGCTGAAGTCAGGGTTATTCCATATTCTCACATTTCATTCCATTGATAAAAATATATCATTCCACTATTCTTTTTTCTTGGATATCTTATGTATTGTTTTCCCTTCCCAGGATATTCTGCAATAACACTCTCCACTAGAATGCTCAAAGGTACCAGAGTTCTGCCAGCAGTGTTTGCAGGATGATAACTGTTGAAGACTTACCCAACTGGAATCTCTCTATATAGAACTTGCATTTGCTTCCGAAATGCAAAGGATGGAGGCCTAACAAAGTGAGGTCGTTATGGAAAAAGTAAAGAGGATTCCCTTTGGCACCCTATTTTTGGAAAAGAACTGGAAGAAAGCTGAGATTTTAATGAAAAGAATTGCAATATCTTGCTGATATTATTAAATTATGGTTTGTTATTACAAGATTGTTCAGGGAGATACTGGAGAGAAGAGAATGGAGCAAATATTTCAATAGTAACTAGTGAGAGATATGGTAGAAGGTTGCAACCTGGCTATCACAGGTAAGGAGGTGTTGAACTGCAGCCTTACCAAAAGTCAAGGAGACAATGAAGGAGCCTCCTTGCAAAGGTTGTGCTTTTTAACATCTGGTCTGGGTCTAGCAAAATATTTACCATTCACAATTTATTCCTGGATGAAAATGCTCTCTTAATATTTATATGGCTAGGGCAGAAGAAGTTTATCTCCTAACCTTAATCCTATAGAAATGCTGTTGAAGGTCTTGAAGAAAGTGGACAATTCATGTGAGGAATTAACATTTTGAGTTGAAGTTATTCTGGAGGGACGAATGGACTAAACTTTCAAGCCAATGTGCAGACTGATTAATAGTTACACAAGATGTTTAGTTACAATTATTGCTGCCCATAGGGGCCACACCAGTTACTGAAAGCTGTGATGACTCCCCCAGACTCTTCCCCAGATACCTCTCCAGATGTCAGCTCGGAGGAAGATGAACCAGTTCCAGGCACATCTGGAGGGGAGTTGGTCAATGGTTCCAAGCAGCCGACTGAGAGGGATTTGGTTGAAGCACAGCTGCAGCAGGACAGCCTTGAGGCTTCAGGTGGGGAAAGCACGCAGCTGTAGCCAGTCAGTGATGAAGAAGAACTGCCTTCTGCACCTGATCCAAGAACACGTAGGGCAGAGAAAAGGCAGGAGCAGTGAAGTCAGCCAGATTACTTGTGAGGAGGCAGCCTCGCTCTTCTTGATGGGCTGCACCAGAAGCTGGCTATTTAGCATAGCAGACAGATGGAGGGGATGCTGAGAACAATTTGTTCATTTCCTAGCTGCATTTTTTCTGGTCATTGTGATTCCTGCCTTGCTTTGGATTGACAACATGCCTTGACTTGGATTGTGCCTTGTGAACTCTGGATTTTTCTTACCTTGTGAACACTCTTGTGTTGTGGATTTAATTTTGCCTGGTGGGTTTATCTTGTTTGAGAAACTTTCAAGTCCATGAGCCTTGTGGATTCATTGGCCATTGGTCTGCTTTTGGATGGACTTAATTGGGACAGTTATGAATTTTTAGTGAAGGGAATTGCTGGGGTATATTAATAAACTTGCTAAACCACTGTTATGTGTATATGAATGAGTGAGATGATACAAAGTAAAGGTTCATATATTTTTGTCACACAAATATGTAGCTTTGGGTCATTTTTCTCAATGTGCAGGTATGTTTCTGACATGTTTATTTAACTGGATTACCTACTCCTAGGGTTTGTGAGAAGAACAGAATGTATCATATTTATGCAGAAATATTGAAAATTCTAAATATTTCATGAACTTTCAGCACCAACATAGATTTTAATCTCAAGGTTGGAAAAATAATGGCTATAAGATCATTGACTCTAATGACAAAATGGAAAAAGTATTTGAATCATTTAGTTGAGAGAATGATGCAAAGATGTTTTTGTTTTCTCCGGAATTGTCTTCTGCATATATATGGTTTCTTTTAGGTCTACAATAAAGCATCTTACCCAGGAGCATCAACTCCCTTACACTTCTTTTGTTACCTATTAAAAGCAGGATTTACATTTTGGGAACTTATAGCTCTGACTGCTCTGAAGACTGACCCTGGATAATCTATGATGGAAGCTAAATAGAGAACAACGCTGCTAGGTCTCCTGAATGTATTGGTAGATTTCAGTTTAACCAATTACAGTAAAGGGGTTGGTCTTTGTGACAGTATTTCTACCATTTCTGATCTTTCTATCCATAGCATACTGTAGTAAAAGATTTGCACTATACTCCAATTGGCTACCAGACATAATTTGATGTTGACCTTTAAAGCCCTGGGGCTTGACTATTTCATAAATACCTCCCCCAATTACTTAAATCAGCTGGGGAGGCATTTTTTAAGAACCTCCTACTTCTTGAAACTTACCTGTCTTGTATGCTATAGTCCTCTTCTGTGTGGATTCAAGCTATGAAATATATTTCCCAATAACTGTATTTAATTGTATTGTTTTTTATTCTTATATTTTATAATTTGTATCTTTAACTTCTGCATGTCCTCTCGGGTGATATAGAAACATAAAACTAGGATATAAAGAAATCAAATAAATAAATATAAAGAATAGTAATGGCCACTTGTCAGCAAACGTCTCATGTAAAGTAGGATGATGGTAAATTTAAGAAGATTGTTATATTATTTGATTATATACAATCAAATATTGTATCAAATATCTTCTCATGCTAGAATAAGTAATACAATTATTCTTACTAAAGCATTAATTTGATTAGTAATTAAATCAATACTTTAGTAAGAATAATTTTATTTTTATTATCCTAGCATGAGAAGGTATTTAGGGTAAAGATTTTATTAAAATATACAAATCCAATTGTTACCTTTTAGGTTCTGTAAATTTCTAATCCACAGTGAGTAGTAGGTCAGGAACAGTAGAGAGGACTAGGGTTTTTTTTAACATTTATTTTATTTATTTTGTTACTGAATTTATTATCAGCAAAAAAGAAGCCAGTGACATGAGACTATAGTTATATAAATTTAAAAACAAAATCCAAATCAAATGGAGAGATGCTGATTCAAAATAATTTAAACATGTGTTAAGCATATTTAAAAACACAAATGTGTGAGAAAAGGCAAAGGTCCTTTAACACAATGTATCACAGATTGTAACATTTAGCCTTAAATATAACCATAGGGTGTTTTTAATCTTAATCTTGACTTTCTGCTAATTATTTTGTTTTTTATTTTTCCTATCTTAAATTGTGGCTTTTGTCACAATTTAAGATGAAAAAAACAAAAATAAAGCAATTTGCAGAAAGTCAAGATTTGAGTTTATTAATAATCTCAATAATTAACAATTCAAGAAAAGGGTTTATTCAGCATGATAAATGGGTAGGGCCTCCAAATTCTGGCTTAATGAAAATTAATTTACTATACATTCATGTTGAAATAGTTTTAATTAGTTTTTACAAACACTAGCCTTATTTGTTTAGATAAAGACTCTATTGTCTGACTAAACAAATTCTCATCAAATAGAAAAGGTGAAGTTAACATGACCTTCTTATAGTTCATTTCTAATTTATTTTTCTACTGATTGTTTAATCAGTCAGCTTGCTAATGTATTGTTTTTCAGAAAATGATCTTTACATAAATAATTGCTGTTAAAATGACACTAAAATAGGTGCCTTAACTAAAGAAAAATATCAATGATAGATCACCAAAATAGTCACCTTTTACACCTAGAAAAAGAACTACCCATTTTTCTAGTGTTCTTGAGGTTGTGAATAGATACATCTGTTTTGGAATTCCATCCATGACCTACCATTTTGGAGTAGAGTAAAGGAGAATAAACTATTTGGGATATTAGTATGCATTTATTACTCTAGCTGTCGATCATATTTCAATAAACAAAAACCCTTGCTAAAAAGGGACAGGAAAATAATAAAGCTCCTATTCAAGCGGAAGATTGCTTCCCCTTAGAAAATATTTACTATATTTAATTGTTTGGATTCATTTCTCAGAATTGAATTTTGTGTATCTAGAACTTTTTAGATGCTCATTTATGAGAGTTGATTGTAACTGAATTGGTTAACAGAATAAAAAGCTTTTTTAAAAATCAGAGTGTTAAAATTAGACTCCCTTATATGGATTATAATAATAGTGTACTTCCTCAGTCTCATTTGAGAAAATTCTACCTAAAGATAAGTCTTTACAATATGGGTGGTTCTGCAGTATTTCAAAATGATGACTTTTCAGACAATTAACAGAAAATATGTTATTTACCTGTAACTAAGGTTTTCAGAGGATTGCCTATGAATTCCTCATTATAGAGTCTGCCATTACCTATGAATGTAAGGGCTACCATATCTGAGCTGCCAATATCTAGATTCATTCTAGACAACTACTGTAGTAGATGCTAACAAAGAGTTAAAGTTTAATGATCTCTTTGCTGCCATCTGTTGATCTAAGATTCTTTGCAGGCATGATCTGGTGTCCCTATGCAATTACCAATTATGCTTCTTAGGAGAGGTTTGCTTCCCACCTTTTCATGACAAAATGAAATTTATAAATGGCACTCAGGAGAGCCTCTCTTCTGTAAGGTGATCTTTGTGCTTACATTTTTACTGGGGAAATAGCAAAGTATGTATCAGATGGGAGACTGAGGGGAAGATCAAGCTACTAATGTTCATGAAGGACAGATACTGCTTGACTTACAATCATTTTTTTAATAATGGTTGGAATTAACAATGGCCTGTAAGGTACTTCAGAATCTTGCAAAATGTTGCACATATTCCATGGGCTCACATGATTGCAATTTGAATGCTTAGCAAACTGCTTGCACTTATAACTGGTTGTTAAGTACCCAATTATCACATGATTTAGATTAATCTTCTCTGCCAGCATCCCCAGAAAGTCAATGGGGAAGCTGAAAGGGAAACCTCCTGCTGCCTACTAATAGGATCTCTCTCATCTCTGAGGGCTGGCTAAAAAAGCTCTACACCAAAATTCAAGAAGGCATGAAGCTGAAATCCTCTGGCAGAGAATCCTTTCAGTCAGCCTCTAGAGACAAGTGGGAGCCCTTCTGTCTCTGAGGACTGGCTGAAAGAACTCCTTGCCAAAATCCAAGAAGGCATGAAACTGAAATCCTTCAGCAGGAAGCTTTTTCAAAGAGCCCCCAGAGAATAGAGAAGGCTGAAATCCATACATTTTTCAGTCCTTAAGGAAAGAGGCAATACAGTAAGGCAAGAATTCTAGAGTGCCTTGGAGGGGTTGGGAGGCGTTTGTGGATTTTCAGTTGCTGAACAAAAAGACAGTACAGTAAGGTAAGGAGTTGGGGAGGCTCAGGGCAGACCACATGCAAGATTCTTTCAGCTCAGAACTGAAAATCCTGTTAGGATTTCAGCAGAGGATTGCAGCTTATGAGCAAAGAGACATTCACATCAGCCTGCACTGGACCTCCTAGGGTCTCCTCCATCTCTGTGAGGTAATCCACATTCCTTACCTGGGACTCCATCCACATAAATCACAAGGTCATTTAACAACCACAACCAGGAGTGTCAGGATTATGAATACTTTCCTGAAGATTTGGACATCAAAAATTAAGTGTCTATTACTGCATCACCAATTTATAATAGGTTTATAGTGAGAAAATAAGCAGTTTTATGGCTCTCACCAAATTTCTAAATGTTCTCTTCCACATTTATTTTTTTGTTTGATGGTCTGTTTGTTTATAAAATAAAAAACCACCCTATCTATTATGACTTTACACACACTGCTTTATGAAAGACCAGGGAATGATTTCTTCAGTCAAGCAGAAGGCCGGGATGGGAGTGAGGTAGAGAAAAGAATCAAGCTTTGATGCAAATATAGAGCAGAGGCTATGCCTGAACAGAGTAACATATAAAGAGATCAATAACAGCTCAGGACAATATCAAGGAGTACTTCAAAGCCAGTTTGGTCATGTTCAAGACAAGGAATTTTAGGATGACAGAGTGACTGCCCAAAACTACCCGAAGTGACTAGTAGAGGCATATCTTCATTGCATGAGTGAGTTCTGGTGCATTATACATTATGATGAAGTGACTGGTTGCAAATGTTGCTCTTGGACATGTTTTGCAAGCTGAATCTTTTCGAAGAATATTTGACAGTGTAAACACCATGATATCTAATTTTCATCAAAATGACATACACAACTTCCAAAATGTAATTATAACATAACATAACATCCTCTGAATAAATATGAATATATGTGTCTCTATATGTATAAAATGCAAAGCTGAAAAGACTAATTATTATGTCAGCTTCCATTTCTTTGGTATATGAATCAGAAAATGAAGCACTTTAAAATAAATATATTTGAGTAAAAAGTAGGTGTTTTGCTCACTGACTCTTTAAAGTGTAATAAATTCTACTAAAATACATGCGGGGATCGCGGAAAAGTATAATAGTGAAAGAAACATTTCAGCTCCCTTTTTGTAAATGGTTTAAAGATAAGCAATATTACTATTACTAAAAATACAAAAATACCTTGTTGTGAAATACTGCAAATTAGTTGTTTAAAACTGAAATACTTAGTTCATAATATTTAATAAAAGATTATCATACCTGGGGTGCAAAATCCAGAAAATAGATGGCAGTTAAAAGATGCAGAAAACTCTAACCCTTTATTGCCATCTTGTGCTTGTCTGGATCTTTGCAGTCCAAATCTGGTAGCCCTACTTAATAAACTTTTAATCCATTTTCATGGAAACTTTATTATGTTGTGAATTGTATAGTAAGGGGTTTTTTTACCCCAACAATACCAGAACCTTCATTTAATCTTTTTGGTTACAGTTGTATTACTTACTATCCATAGCGTGAAGATATTCCATATGAAGGGCACCTGCTCCTGCTGTGGCAACTGAAGGAATGATATCTGCATATGGGCTGCGCTGGCCTGCCAGTAAAGCCATCTGATGGTAGTATTCTGCTGGACTAATCCCTGCATGTGGAGCTGAAGTAGAACATTAAAAGCATGATTTAATGACATTAGAAACAGGAATCTGTCTGTCTGTCTGTTTGTCTGTCTGTCTTATCTATCTCTATCTTTGGCATTATTTTTTAAATATTATGCAGGTTCTGATGACTTGCTATTATTTTTAACATACTGTATCAAAGTAGAATATCCATTATAAGCTTGGTCAAAAGTGTGTGTGTGTGTAATATATATATTATAATTCAGTTGAAAAACAAATCTTTTAGGGAGAAAATAAGAATAAAAAGCTAGAATAATGTCATTGCATAAATGTTCATACTCTCTTATAACTGACGATAAATTCTAGTCAGTACATACCTGCCAACAATTAAAGTGACTCTGATCAAGCCTAGTAGAATTTTTCTGACATTTACTCAGTTGCTTTGTACAGCAAAAGCCATGGTCTGTAACTCATTGTCAGTCAGAAGAATGATACAAAAAAAATTCCAAGGCATTGGATATACCATGGAACACAGTGAATACAGTCATCAATACCTGAAGAAAATATGGCATAATAGTGACATTACCAAGAATGAGATGTACCTCCAAAATTAATGAAAAAACAAGAAGAAAACTGATCTGAAAGGCTGCCAAGAGGCCTGGAGCAAGATTAAAATAGCTGCAGTAGTTTCTGGCAAATATCGGTTGTGTACTCCATGTGACCACAATCTCTCATATTCATATATCTGGGCTATGGAGCAGGGTGACAAGACAGAAGCCTTTTTGTTGCAAATGGTCCCGGGCAATCCAAAAGCTTGTGAATTCAAGGACCTGGAAGAACGCTTACGAGACCGTTTTGTCTGCGGCCTTAGAAGCAGAGAGCTGCAACAAAAAATCTTTGCTAAAGCTGAAGTCACCTTCCAAGATATCTTACGTTAAGTTGCAGCGGAAGAAGCAGCAGGCGGCTCACCAGAAACGCTCCAGCCATTGCGACAGTCCATCAAGAGGTCGTTCAGGAAGTGCAAGACCCGGATCCTGAAGAGGAGGTGGATAGACTTCACCAGCTGGCAGTACGACGACCGCGAGAGAAACCAGACAAGGCCCCAGCAGCCCTTCAGTGTCTCGGTTACAGAGGACACCACAAGCACATGGACTGCCGATTCTGCTCCGCCATTTGCCGGGCATGTGGTAAGCAAGGCCACATTGCCACCGTTTGTTTGGGTCGTCAGCAGGTGCAACCTCGGGAAGAATTCCTTCGGAAAGGTACAAGGGTCCCCAGCCAACACAGGGTGGCTTTCTGCGCATAGCGTAGAAGCATTTTGCGAACAGGGACACACAAGCCCCTTAAAAAGAAACTTCGCATTGATGTACAGTTACAAGGGGTTCCCTTATCGATGGAGCTGGACACCGGGTCCGCTCTATTGACCATTTCACACAATACCTTTAAAAGGATTTGCTGCAGTAGTGGCCTTCGAGTCAAACTCAGGCCATCGAACTTAATTCTTACTGACTTTCAAAATTCAAAGGTTAATGTACTTGGAGAGGCCATGCTCAAAGTGCAGCGTAAGGCATTCCAAGGCCTCTTAGACGTGGTGGTTGTTGGGGGTGAGCGTACGAGTCTAATCGGACTCGATTGGTTTGAGGCCCTGGGAATCCAGGTGACTGGTCTGAATAGTCTGCAAACTCCAGGAATTGCAGAAGTCTGCAGAGAGTTTGCGGATGTGTTTAGTTCAGAGCTGGGTTCATACAAGGGGCCTCCCATTGCCTTGCGGTTAAACCCAAAAATCACACCAGTTAGGATTAAGCCTAGAAGGGTACCCTTCGCCCTCAAGGGCAGGATTGATGCTGAGCTGGACAAGTTGCTCCAGCAAGGCATTTTGGAACCTGTGAACTCAAGTCCATGGGAAACCCCCATTGTGACTCCTTTAAAGGCTAACGGGGAAGTCCAAATTTGCACGGACTATAAGTGCACTTTGAACACAGCTTTGCAAACAGCATGCATATCCTGTACCAGTAGTGAGTCATATTCTGGCCTCCCTAAAAGGGGGAAAACTGTTTGCAAAGCTTGATTTAGCACAGGCCTATCAACAGCTACCTGTTGATGAGGCAACTGCTGAGGGCCAAACAATAGTGACCCATAGGGGCGCTTTTAAGGTAAAAAGGTTACAATTTGGGGTGAATGTTGCTCCTGGCATATTCCAGAGTGTCATGGAGTGCACGCTCAGGGGTATTCCGGGGGTTTGCCCTTACTTTGATGATGTCCTAATCGCAGGGGAGTCATCACAGAATTTGGCTGAAAGATTAAGAGCTATGTTGCTGAGGTTCCGCCAAGTGGGCCTCAAATTAAAAAAGGACAAATGTAAAATTGGAGTTACTTCCACAGAATTTTTAGGCTTTAAAATAGATGCCCAAGACATCCATCCTGCAGAACTAAATTGAAGGCCATTCAGGAGGCCCCAAGTCCCAAATCTAAAAGCGAGCTTCAGGCTTTCTTGGGACTTCTTAACTTCTATCATGCTTTTCTTCCCATAAGGCTGCAGTGGCTGAGCCGTTACACCGGCTCTTAAACAAGCAAGCTCCATGGCAGTGGACTAAGGTCCATAACAGGAGTTTTAAGGAGGTCAAGCCTTGCTCTCATCAAATGCGGTATTAGCCCATTTTAATGAGCAACTATCTGTATGCATCGCTTGTGATGCATCCCCTTATGGGGTGGGTGCAGTACTCAGTCACCTGAAGGCTGACGGAACACAAGTCCCTGTAGCCTACTATTCAAGGACTTTGTCATCTGCAGAGCGTAATTATGCTCAGATTGACAGAGAGGCCTTGGCCATAGTGGCTGGTATAAAGAAATTTCATGATTTCTTATATGGCCACCATTTTACGGTCTATACAGACCATAAGCCACTGCTGGGTTTGTTTACCACTAACAAACAAACCCCACACATCATTTCCCCATGTATGTTGAGGTGGTCCATTTTTCTGTCAGCATATGACTACACACTTATTCACAAACCTGGGAAAGAAATGGGCCATACAGACAGCATCAGTAGGCTACCTCTCGTACACATAGAGGCAGATCCTGCCCCTGCTGTTAATATTCTCTCTATTCAGGAGCTGCCTGAATCTCCCCTAAATGCTAGGGATGTGGCTGCAGAATCTGCCACTGATCACATGCTTACACACGTGCTGACATGGATGCTGTCAGGATGGCCTGACACGTGTCCAGATGCTGTGTTTCAAAGCTTCTGGCAAAGAAGGCATGAACTGTCTACATTTAAGGGGTGCCTGTTATGGGGTAGTAGAGTAGTCATCCCAGCCTCACTGAGGTCTAGAGTCTTGTCCTCTCTGCATGTGGGACACCCTGGCAATGTCCGCATGAAAGTGCTTGCACGCAGCCATTTTTGGTGGCCTGGGCTTGATAAAGCTATTGAGGCCCAGGTGCACGGGTGCCAGGTGTGCCAACAGTCACAGCCTGAAATGCCTCAGGCCCCTGTTCACAGGTGGGAGAAGAAACAAACCCCTTGGTCAAGGGTACATTTAGATTATGCTGGGCCTTTTCAGGGACAATTCTTCCTTATCTTGGTTGATAGCCACTCTAAGTGGCTAGAGGTTGTACCTGTCTCCTCCACTACTACTGCCAGGACCATCCAGGTGCTGAGAGGAATCTTCGCGACCCATGGATTTTCTGATGTCCTCGTTTCTGACAACGGTCCTCAATTTACTTCTTGTGAGTTCCAGGCTTTCTTTCAGGCCAACTTGATCAGGCACGCCACCTCAGCTCCCTTCCACCATTCCACCAACGGGCAAGCTGAACGCATGGTGCGCACCACCAAAGACGTGCTCAAAAGAATCACGCACGGGAGCTGGCATCACAGGTTAGCAGATTTTCTTCTTGCACACCGCACCACACATGCACTGCCACTGGAAAGAGCCCAGCTGAACTCTGTTGGGGTCGCCGCCTCATCACGAAGTTGGACAGAGTGCACCCAGACCAAGTGGCTTCACAGGTGTCCCAGCCGCAGGCACCTAGGAGACTTCAGGTGGGCGATCCGGTTTGGGCACGGAACTATGGCCCTGGACATCTTTGGTGCCTGGCTGTCATCTGTAAGATCTCAGGACCGCTATCATACGAAGTGACCTTGGGTGATGGCCGCGTCCTGCAGCGTCACATCGACCATCTGCGCTGGCGGTTGGCCCCCAACGTTTCCGGGTTCTGCTCTCACGGGGGAGGGGGCCCAGGAACATGGTCATACTTCAGGTCAAAATCTTGGGACACAGTCTTACTGTTCCTGGGAATGGCCGTAGGTTGCTAGTGATTCTCCAGTGGAGGAGCAAGGGCATCCTCACGATTCAGCTATTGCTCCAAACAGGAAGTCATACGTATCCGCAAGTGCTCCAAATAAGAATTCATCCTCGGGGGTGGCCTGCGCATCCGCAAGAGCGCCAAACAGGAATTCTCTTGAGAGGGGGTTTGCCATAGAGGTGGCTCCTGACTCTGGCACCTTAGCCACCTACATGGGGGACTGGAACTATTGGGGCACACCTGCAACGCAGGTCACGTCCGAGACTGGTCACGGGCTCGAGGGACTTAGTTCCCAGGAGCAAGCCATGGTATTGGGGGAGACCTCCGCTCCACCAGCGGGTTGGGGAATCTCCTCCTTCCCAAGGGGTCCTGGAGAGAGTTCAGACAACTCAGCCAGTACGCCTCAACAGGGGTCACCTGCAAATTATGAGCATCAAAGTCCTGGTCTAGCGAGCTCACCAGATGGGCCGGTAGGTCAGTCACCCTTAAGTAAAAGTCCTGGTCTGCCTAGCCGGGCAGGAGAGCTGACAGGCCAGGCACCCTCCCTGACCTTGCGTAGGTCGCAACGGGCTAAGGCTCCTCCTAAGCATCTGGGAGACTATGTGAGGTTTCTGTCATCACAAAGGAAACTTGCTGATCCATAATGAGGTAATAGGGGGCCTATGCTTGGTGAAAAATAGACACACTAAGTCTAAAATTAGAGAATGGGCTGTTGGCTTAACTTTATTATTTAATT